TCCAGCTTTACTACTAATATGGGTTTTCGACAATACCTTTCCGATTTTCGAGAAACCTATTGGGTTTCCGAAAGCAAGAAAAAGGTATTCTAGAATACTTTTAGAATGTTCAGTTGAGTATTGTCGGAAACCCTTGAGTTTCCGAACGTTCGGAAACCCAAAGGGTATTTTCAGAAACGCTTCCAAACTTCGGGAACCCACTCGGAAACGGAAAAGGGTTTCTGAGTAGGTTTCCGAGCCCCTTTGGGTTTCCTAGGATACGAAAATTTTTTAGAGTGTATAGTGAAAATACGTTAGTTCGCTAGTTTGAAACAGTCTATAAATATATAAATTAGTATCTGCTCAAGATATATTATAGCCAATACACGATATACTTTTGCAGTGTTTGATACTGCGAAAGTAATTTCTGCCGTTCTTTCGGCTGTTATATTTCGTCTATCAGATACTGACGCTGTGTATCTACGATTTTTGCTGCTGTCAGCATAGAAAACCTATTATCATATAAAGTCTCTCACAAGTTTAATTGATATTTTCATAAACTAGTCTGCTGTAGATGCTGGCAACCAGTTTCCTGTTTCTAAATATTTCTAACAACAGCAATTTAACAAATGATCCTTCTATTTCCCAGAAATCATTGTCCCTAAATCACGACCAACGTTGCTCCATTGACCTCAGGAATAGGTTATTGTGTAGGTATAGACGTTACAAGTATATACATTCAGCTACATTTTTACTACCATGCAGTGCAATCTTTGCCAGTAAATTTGTATTTTCTAAACAGCCATAAGAGTTATGCTTAAGATTTTTTCACCATACATACTTTCGACCATGGACTACATTTTCATCATATTTGAAGAAGCTTTTCGCCTAATACTTCTTCATCAGTAATATATTCTAGTTTCACAAGATATGCCCATGTGGGTACGGCAACTTGGTCGGATCAATATAGTAGAATACCTTGATAGTGGTATTATTTAAAAGAGCACCCTAAAATACATCGAATGACATTTTCAAAAATTTTTGAAATTAAATCTTGGTATAGAAAACTTTTCCAGCTCGATCAAAACATCAATTTGGGCTTGTGATTCTAACTATAAAAATTGGTAACTTGCTCTTCAATGGTTGAGTTGTATCATCAAATGAAAGTTCTAATTGAGAAAACTCTAAATCCAAAAATTCAGCTCGTTTGGATGTATCTGTGAAAAGTGACGAAAGAATAATTTTGAATTTTTTACATGATATTGTATTCATCTAACTTTTCACATGCCCATATTTCAGGTAAAAGAAACTAAATGATTTTAAATTTTTACTATTATCTATTTTCATCGTGATTTTTGTATATGCGAAGATGCAAGTGAAAATTTGAAATTTGAGTTTTCTATGCCCCTGAAGGACACCACGACAATGCTCAAAAAGCACTTCCTCAAAAGGTCGGTATCTTGGTGGAAACAAATAGAAACAAGTACTCTTGATAGTTTTCAAAGTGCATTAAGAACTGCATGATCCATATAGTTCTGACTCAAAACTGACTTGTCATTTTGAAATGTTTTTTTTTTGCAATATCTGAAAATGTTAGATAAATAGAGTATGACGCAAAAAAAACGATTTGAAAAAGGAATTCTTTCGCCGTTTTCCACAAGCACATTCAAATGCGTTGTTTATATGACACAAATCACACATCTGAGGAAAAATTACCATTTTTTATAGTTAAAACTGTAAATCAAAATTGATAGTGTTGCTTTTGTTCGCAAAATTTGCGATGCCGAAATTCAATTCCATAAATTTTGGACAACGTCATTTAATGTGTTTTGATGTGTTCCTTCAAATGAGACTACTATCAAGGTATTCTACTGCACTGATTCGGCGAGCTTGTCATATTCACATTAGCATGCTGTATGATAACAGGAAACGGTACCAAGCAAAAATTATCTTATGATGAATTAGTTTTATTACTCTGGAAAAATAGCTCATAGTCGATAGTACAAATGGTGAAACAAATCTCAGTGACAATGGGTATGTGGGCGTGGATGTAAAAATAGTCGTGGCCGTTATAATCGATCACAATCCACATTCATGCGCACTGCCACACACTCAAACCTACATAATTCTATGAATCAACGTTACTTAGAGTCTGTTATTTGTTTATGAGCACTACATTTTACTATTGCTTGTAATATTAACCTGTGTGAGTTCTAGTTATTCTTCAATAATGTCATATACGTTGAAAAAAATCAGTGTGATAATCAAATCGTATATCAAATGCATTGCAACGCTGTTGGTATAAACGAAATGTATATAGTCTGTTTATATGGAAAACGCAGAGGAATTTCTTTTTTCTGTAAACTGTCATAACGTTGTTGAATCATACGAATATAGCCACTATCAAAACGCAAAATTTCAGACATTTTTTACTGTATACAATGAGTCAAATAGCAGAAGAGCATGAGTTGCTGTAATGCGTAAATTTCACATTTCTAACTTCATGGATGTAAAAGTGAAGAATATTTTCGGAAGTAATCAACAATAGTAACTAGAGTAATAAAAGAATGTTTAATTGTGCAGTGAAATGATTCAAACTGTATAGTTTAGTTCATCTGAAAAAAGAAGAATCTTTCGTAGCAAATGTCTGTCATATTCTCATTTCATTATTATTGAATTTTTCACTGAATGAAATTTTTTTTAGATGATCTTTGTAGGTTTGTCAAAAGTAATCGAAGAAAAATTTATTAACAATGAAAAGAAATTTTCACAAATAATTTTCCTTCATGATAATATGGATTTTGTAGTTCCAGGGATGATGTTTGAAAGCAAGAATAAAGGAATTTAATTTTTTGTATTAATCAATTTAAGAAGAGTGATTAGCAAGTTCTCGAAGTGCTAATCGATTTTCATCAATATTTGATGTAGTTCTTGTACATAAACTAGTCACACCGTTTTCACTCAACCATATTTGCCAATGAGAGCCAACTGAAACTAATCCAATCCCACACATAGATCCTTGTTCCCAGGTTCGTACTTTTATCTGAGCACCAACTGATGTACCCTAAAAGATAATCAATAACAATATCTTTAATTATAAAATAGAAACAATTCAATATTGTTTTACTTTGAATGCTTCTTCAACTTCTACTGTAAATTCATAACGATTATAAGGTAAAGGCGGTGGTATTTTATCAATGACACGTCCTATAAAAATAATTGGTGTTCGAGCAAAATCGTCTTTCAAAGTTGGTCTTGGGACACATGAACAGCAAATTGTCGATCCAATCAATAGACTAAATAATAGCCATGAAAACATCATCATTAGTAACTAAATAACTTTTGATCTGAATAAAAACTATTATATATAAAGCACAGATTAAGAAAATATATTAAGTATCAAATAATTGGTATTAGATGAAAACGAAAATTTCATGGACTAAAATGCAAGTGAGAAAAACGTTCTGCACTAAATATTTCTTTTTATTGCTTGGCGATTTGCAAATATATCAACTACACGATTCTTTCTTTTTTTTGTTCTTTTTCAAAAACAAACTTCAGTCAGAAGTAGATATTTATATTTTGTGATAGGTGCTAAAGCCATTTTTTTCTGCGAGAAAGTAATAAAAAGTATTATTGCATTGACGTTTTCAACAATAGAAATGATAATTCATATACAACATTAACAAGATATTGTCAAGTTGATTTAAAAAAATATTGATAAAAATGAAAAACAACCGAAGAACATTCGAATTAGAAAATCTACAGAAAAAAGATCGATTCAAGACTAAAATAAGCATTTTAACTTCAGTAAAGTGGTTATAAAATCCGATATTTTTGTATTGCATAAACGAGGGCGTGAGTGTTAGTTCAGATACACGTGAGATTCAACTTTTTCTGTTTAAAATTAGAATTCTAGTTTTTTCCGGCCATAATCAAACTTGAAGCACAAGTGGATATGAGGGTGGGTACGAGTGTGCGGAAAGATAATGCTGAGATCTACAGCCACACTCTTAAGATTATCACAACAGAAACTATTGATTGTCAGAAAGAGTTCCACTCTTCTTTTACGTATTCGTTTTCATCAAAAAACACTTGTACTAAATGTTTGATGTTTTATTATAATATACATAATGTGTATGTGAGCCGTTTTATTAAGATGCGTTTATGAAGCTATGTGTCTCTATAATTGGTATTTTTCCACAACTTATTTTTCTATTGATTATGTCCATCAAATTTTTCGTTCAAATAGAAACTACTGTTTCAAATAAATGTTTTTTCAATTTTGATTTTACTTGTGTCGTTGTTCTAATAATCATACGTACATCTCTTGAACTAAATCAAATTATCTTACTTTATACAGTTCGATGCGTCTTCATCTTCTCTTTCTATCTGTGAAAATAAAAGGTCTCTATTTTGTTCATGTCAAAAGTTATTCGCAATAAAGGACAGCGTGATTACTTTTGAGCCACCCTGTATTAAGCTCAAAATATTTGCAGTTGATCAGGAAACTTCTAATTCTTTTCATCTTGGCCACACATTGTGCATTCGGTAATTATAGGAGCAGGACATGATGTCTAATAATTTGATATCTGTGATAAAAGTACCTTTTTTTAGATGAAACTATGTTAAGAACACTTTCCACCGATGTAATTCCCAACACCATGAGAACGAAATGTGTTTACTGAAGATCGTATGAGTGTGAGCGTGAGCGTGAGTGTTGATATAGAGAGGATAATGATAATCAAATTCACACCTACACCTAAAAATAATGGACCTATGGTAGAACCACTTAGTTAAAAAAGGAGAGTACTCTCTTTAAAAAACTTATTAAAACAAGTCTTTTTAAATTCTTATTTCGATACCATTTTATGAAAATTTTTAAGTTTAAGACTTTTTGGGTAGAACTTCAAAAGATTTCGGCCAACACTGTTGCTCCAAAAAGTATTCTAGTGGTTTTCGTTGGGACTTAAAATACTTCAGAAAATGGTACCCCAATCTAGAACTGTAAAAGGATTAGTATGGTACTTTTTCCTCAGAGAGTAATTTATCGATTGTTACTGTCTTTCTTCTCATTAGAAGATGATGAAAAACAAAAGTCCGTATTTCGTGGTATGGATGCAAAAGAAAAAGAAATATTTACACTTATTAATAACCATCGTCGACAATATGATTTACCAGTACTTGAGACATCTATCAATCTTGCTTATGTTGCTCATACACATGCTGTTGATGTTAGTGAAAATAATCTGGATGTTTATGGTGATAATGAGCATAGTTGAAGTAATAAACGAAAATGGAAAGCAGTTATATAGACACCTGATCATCGACAAGCACAATTAATGTAGAGTAAACCATCCGGAATAAGTAATTATAAATTTAATGCCTTTGAAATTTGCTTCTTCTTGCAGAATTACTGATAAGTCTAAAATCCTAAACGTATGGACAGTTTCGTTGTAAAATTATAAATTGTTTTCCAAAGTCATGCATCCACAAAAATTTCAAAAAGTTTTCGAAAAAAGTTCACTTGTCAGTATTTTGTCTAAAACTTTTTATCGATTCATCCAATGCTTTTGAGTGATGGCTCATTCGATAGACAATCGAAAACTCAACATGTGATATATTTCAAAGTCTCTACCTAAGTAATTGCGGGGTTCTGTACATAATAATTGTAAAATATAATGTTTTGAAAAATTCAATATTTTCATGTAAACTGTTCATAAAATTCTCTTAATGCCGTAATAAAAGCTAGAAATACATTTATTTTACAGAGCTGATACATCTGAATATATTTTGAAAAAATCTGAAAGGAACGATTGAGTACATGATTCAACATGTTGTACAATCATGTTTACCTCTCATTGGGCTTGCACCAATTATGAGAAGGGTTTGCCACGAATAATCATAACATTTTTGAAAGTCTAAGCTAAAAAGTTGTTTTGATGATATGGAATCATTGTGCAAGCCTTCTTTACAAAATAAGATGTTGAAAGTTCTGACAATTATCTTTGTTGAACAGGTAAATACTATGAAGGATTTTATATAAACGTTTAGAAGGATGTAGGTATCGGTCTTGATAAACAAAAGAACAACATCGACACTTACACCAATGCTTACACTGACACCCAACAGACGAATCTTGAAAAAAATGAGACAAAACTCAAGAATTAGGAAAAGCTCTCAGTGAAATGAACAAGCCTAGAGTTAATTAATTCATTTTTGAAAACCAAATGCTTTTTGTTAAAGTCGACTTGAGGCGAACAATTGAAAACTAAACTTTCGACAAAGTTAATTCTTCTTTATAATACAATGCTGCACTGATGTAGAACTCATTTTCTGTGTCGTTCAATCCAAGTTTCACATGCCTTCTTTTTTGCTCATATTTCGATGCGAACTATTTGAAAGTCGGTAGGTGGAGAAAATACTAACACTCTCACCCTCACACAAGTTTCAGTAAGATGTGCAGAAAGATCTCATCAGGAAAACTACAATGCTCCTATATGGAAACATTGTTGGACAAGTTTGATTCAACTAGTTCCTAAGCTAGATTCCAATTTCACCGGTTCGCCGCGAATCTCGGTGAATCAAATATGTTGATGGCAAATTAGGTCGCATTCAAGCTACTAGCTCATCTGACTCTGATCGAATTTGCGGTGCTCACTGTGCATTTCAGCTATCGTCTTGGCAAAGACAAGTCAGAGACCGAAGGACAGGCCTGACTTTGATGAGCTCAAGGACAAGGAAGAAAACCTTGGCACGAGCCCGTTGCATTTCACATCGCCCCCCCCCCCCCCCCCCAGTGAGGATAGAGCCAATATAGAACATTGTGCACGATCAACGTAACGAGATCTTGTCCGATCTAGTTCTAGGATATTTAGTCGACATATCGAATGACTAATCAATTGTCATATGTAAGACTCCGAAGGGTCCTTACAATAGATCGTCAATGAATAAAAGAAATGATCGGAAAATTTGTCTAGATGCTATTGCAGCAACTAATATTAATGAATGTCTAGTGATTTAATGACCAATACCAAGGAGATTAATTTTAGATACATCAAACAGTTTGACAAAGTGAAATATATCTTCGATAAATCATGAAAAGGAATACCACGAGAGTTTAGAGAGATAACATGAAAGTCCCGTTATGCTTCATTGATAATATGAGCATAAAATCGACTATCAAAGAAGAATCATGGCAAATGAGTTTTGTTGGCTCATGGCCTTCCCATTCCCAATAATAAAAATTTAAGTGCACCTTCAATAATTTTACCATTTTCTTAAACGATGGACCGATTGGATTAAAGCAATAAAACGACTGATTGGAGAACAAGGCATCATTCATCAAATGATACGACAAAGGGAAGAAGAAAATATTGATTTATATCTTATAATGAGTTTTGGTGAGTGCTTCATAGTAAAAGTAGTTGCCATTAATATTCATTTGATATTTGACAGTAGTGAACAGGTATATTCACGTCCTCGATCTTTTCAAAGAGACGAATAAATTATCAAATCTCAAGGTTGCTGATCAAAATGAATAAATATTTAGTTGAGATTTTTCCAGTTTGATTCTTTTGCCGTTCACTAATTAACAAAAAGAATTCTTTTTTCAATTATTTAAAAAAAAAAGTTGACAAGCTGTTTTATTTTTAATCAATGTTTGTAGAAAAAGAAAAGAACCAATATGAAAGACAAAATGGACATATTTAGAGATGAGAACGTTGGTTTCGATATTCGTCGATCATCTCTTTTACAAAACTAATCATAATTTCAGGTTTTTCCATTGGAAATGCATGGTTTCCCTCTTTTAATTGTGAATCTCTTCCTTTTTCGAACCACTTAGCAAGATCAACTGCCGTTGGTGGAATTGGAATATTACCACTTGTTATAGATTTTGCTGCTCTAACAACATGAATTGGAATATTATGGATAAATTTTGAATCTTTAATGATTTGATAAATATTTGAGTCAGATTGCACACTTGTTAGATAAAGATGCCATGCTCGTTCAGATGTACATTGGAGTTTAAAATTTTCATCAAGAGCATATGTACAATAATCACGAAGAACATCTTTTGGCCAATATCCAAGTCGTTCAGGTTTGTCCATTTTTGATATCATTTCTTCGACGGACAACCATTGATTATTCTGTTGAGCAAATTTTACAAATTTCTCCATATTTTTAGCTCCTTCTTCATAGATGTACGAAGAATATATACCAGGATCAAGTAAAAGTAATGAACGAAAAAGTTGTTTAGGTGCTAAGGCAGCAGCTAATATTAGTGCATGTCCACCCAAGGAATGACCTATACCAAGAAGCTCATTTTTAGATAGGTCAAGCATTTCAATAAATTGTGAAAGATCTCCACCAAACCATGGAAAAGGATATGGAAGAGGGTGTTTTTGTGATTGACCATGACCACGAAAGTCGAGAGAGATAACATGAAAACCAGATAATGCTTCATTGATAATGCGATCATAACATCTACTATGAAGTGAAGCACCATGACAAATAAGTATCGTCGGTTGATGACCTTTCCATTCCCAATAATGAATTTTAAGTGCCCCTTGACTAATTACACCATTTTCTTGAACAATTGGACGACTAGGTAAAGTAACAAAATGACTAGTAGGAATAGAAGACATCATCCGTCGAAAGATACGACCAATTGTGAAAAGCATTGAATCTAAAATAAAACAATGTTGTTGGGGATTCAAATATTTTTTACAAAGAAAACTATGTAAAAGCATAATAAAAAGAAAAAACCATTTATTTATACTATACAGTAATCTTTGCACTTTGAGATTCAACCGAAATGTGGCTATGTGTACGGGAATTTTTACGGTTTATTCATCACTCAAGTAACTTTTCTTTGATTGGCAATATTTTAGCACAGTATTGCGTTAGTAGACTAATAAAACTTTCAATGAGATTGTGAAATTTGTGCGCCATTTATTGAAACTGTCGAGCTAGTCTTCAACCTTATCAAAGAGATGGTTAACTATCAAAATATTACAGATGAAAATGTAGATTATTATTTCTTTGTCAAAATAGATCACAACTTCACGTTGTTCCATCGCATCTTTTCATTGTGTATCTCACCCATTTTTTAAACCATTTAACAGCAGATCAAATGGTGTAGGTGACGATTCTAAACGTTTACACCATATCAATTGGAATCTCGTTAAAAAATTTTGAATTTTGAATTATTGAATAGATGTTTGAATTGTTTTATCAACTTTTGATATAAATTGAGACTTCTCAACAGATAACTATTGACTTTTTCAACGTAGAATATATTGAAATTTGTTCTTTGTGCTCACATAAAATAACTAAGGTGAGAGTAATGATCAGAATAATTATCTTGATGCTAGTGTAGCAGCTCATGCAGGGCCACTCAAGAAATGATCAATATCAATTAGACTATTTTTAGAAAAATCGAACAATTGTATAAAATGGAGAGCATCTTCATCAAACCATTGATTTTTATAAGAGAAGAATGTTTTTGTGATCGACCATGACTATGAAAGTCGACGATTATAGCATAAAAAGTAAATAAAGCTTTATGGATAATATGATCATAACATCGTCCACAAAATGGAGCACTATAATAAATAAGTAGTGTAGGTGGATGACGTTACCACTGCCAATAATGAAGTTCAGGTGAGGCTTCAGTAATTCCATCATTCTCTTGAACAATGAATCAATTAAGTAAATTAATAAAATGACTTGTCAGAGTGACAAAACTCGATCTTAAATAAAATAGTATAAACTGCCTGATATTTTTACTTAAAAAATGCATAAATATTGATCACAGAATTTTTGTGATATACACATGTTTTACTTATGGATTTTCGTCTGTCACACCTATGATCAATTCGAAAAACCCAGAAATCTGTCTAGCCACAGTTGTGTTGGTACCGAATAAATATAATGGAATGGATCTTTTCGTACAAGCGACCAAGCTGGACAATAAGTGACATGAAGCGAATCAGCGGCTGTAAAAGTTTTCATATCATTTTATCGTTGAATGATTGATTAATAACAAGTTTATAAGTATCTCGTTTTAAACTATTATCAATTGTCATTTCCTTGTTATTTGTGGATATTATTTTTATCATGATTTATTTTATCATGAAAGGAATCGCCATTAATAAAAACATGTTTACTTTGTTTCATACTTATTATCGAATGTTACTGTCTTCTTATTATATGTATTGATTGATTATTATTTATTTAATGATTTAATGATTTATCACTAATAAGAGCATATGTACTT